TGTTTAGACCTTGTACATTATGTGTACAAATTGAAAGTGTAAGAGGGCAAAGTATATTAGTGTTGAAATTTCATATGATGTTTGATAATAATGTATTAAAGAATTTGAATCATCAGATTCTGAATCATTACTATTATTATTAGATAATTTTTTATGGCAAAAGTTAGGTGTATTTGTTTAAATTAAATTTTTAAATTATATAATTATACTTACAGTTTATATTTTATAATAAATTTGCAATTACCTTGTTCATTATTAGAATTATTATATTCTACCTTAGTACTAGTGAATATAAATTTAAGAGCCAGAATTAAGGGGTATATAATAGATAAAGTATCATAGTTTGATCTGCTAAAATAAGTAGTAGTGTCATTAAATGGTTTCAATAAAGTAATAATTTGATTTAACAATTCCCACTCATGTAGTAAAAGAAGTAGTTTATAACTATTAAACTAATCATTTAATTTGTTCGATAGAGACAATGTAAAGCTAACTATTTGATTGCTTTATGTAATTTAAGTAGTCATTTCTATAAATAATATTTTGAATTTCATCTAGTCTTTATATTAGAGATATTTCAAATAGGATTTTCTGAATCAATATTAATTGAATTATTATTATCAGAATTTGTTATATCATTTTGAACTTGCAAGTGCCGTAGATATTTTTGTTGTGCTTTATCAAGACACTTGCTTTGTTTGGAAGATTCAGTAAAAAATTGAACCAATTGCTTTATTCATTTAATATAGCTATTTAATTTTTTAAAAGTACATGCAACAGACAATTGTAGAGTATGAGTCGCACATAGCAAACATTTAACCTCCTTCTATAAGCCAATTTCTTTAATCATATTATTACTATTATCTGTTATAATATATATAATTTTTTTATATAAACTAAATTTCAAACTTTTTTAAAAAAAAATACAACTATATTTTTAAAAGAATATAGATATGGCATTTGCTCTATACAAAGAAAACAATTATAAATTTTAAAATTCTCTGATAGCCAATAGACTGTTATACCAATATATTCATGTTTGCTACATACAGTTTACAGATTGGTTGTTAAAAATGCTATTTCACATGTATTATCTAATAATGCTTTTAAGTTTTTGATAGCATTAGAATGTTCTATGTTAATTTCCTCTTTAATTTTTTTATTAGTAGAAAGTTGAAATGCTAGATTGACAACCTTCATCATTTTTTTATATATATTTTTTTTATTATATTAAATAGCAAATTGTTAACAACTATCCAACTGGAAATTGCTTGGTAAATTTCTTTATTTTGTGGTTCCTTGTGCATTTTAATATTTGCTTGTTCAAAATGTTTGCTAATTTGTATGATCTTGCTTCTATATTGTAAAATATTAAAAGTAACTATTAAATTAATAAAATGTTAAATATATATTAATAAAAACTTATAGTGCTTTTCTTTTCATATAGATTATGTTTGCTCTAAAGATGGTCACCAAATTTCCAGTGCTACTATTGTGTAAAAATTTATAACCACATTCAACATTTTTATTACTTAAATTTAGTACTTTAATCTTGCATACATCATACTGTCTATTTTTGCTTAATTTAAAATACTTCCATACCCAACAATTCTTTTCATAATTTTATTTAGGCTTTAGATAGCTTAATTGTTTAAGTTTTGTATGAACTAATTTATTTATTTATTTTACAGAATATTCTGAAGATGCTTTACCACCAAAGCTAATAGATATATTATTACTAGCTTCTAAATATGACATAGCTTCTTTTGAAGGTTCATCTTCATTTTTTTTTTTTTTTTTTTGAGTTAAGGAGACCTTTTTGGCCTGAAAGCTTTTATTAGGATTTGAAATAGTGTTTTATACACAATTACAACGATGATACATCAAGCCACACGTGCACCTTTTGAGTGCCTAATTTAAGTAGTCCGC